AGATCAGTAGGATACTCCTCCTTGATGCGCTGAGCAACATCATCGATCTTAATCTCCTTATCCAGAAGCTTCTGTCGGTCCAGAGTAATACGTAGAAGCCATCGCGATTGGTTGGCGGTGGGGTCCACGCTCTCATCCGGGATCATGTAGTACGACTCAACCATGTCCACATCTTCAGGGATGTTGGTTTCCGTGATGTTGGGATCATAGTAGATCTCTGTCACCGAGGTGACAGAGCGAAGGTTGGTGTATTCTACCATACTTCGTAGCTTCTTGGCTTGCTCTTGTCTCGCGAGCGGCGTGTTGAGGTACACAGCCATACTGGGAGTCTTAATGTTTTTGGCCAAGTTGAGAATTTCCTTGAGACGTGGCACACCAAGAGTAACGTTCTTGGACGACACACCAGCGAAATGGAAGGTGTTCAGTGTCATCTGAGTAGCAGGCTCACCAATAGACTGCGCAGCCAGAACACCAACCATTTCACCAGGGTTGACAAATGCGCGATCCCATCTATTCTGGAGTTCGCCCAGAATATGGTCGAAAGCCAATTTATTCAGCCGGTGCTCCTTGACCACCTCCTTGAAGGCCAGGCGAGAGCGAAGCAAAGCCTTGAACAGAATGGATGCATTTGCGTCAGCTTCAATCGAGATTTCATCAGTACCACGAACAATCTTCATGCTATCCAGTAAGTTTTGCACGGCTGGAACAACTTCCGATGGTCGCAAGTTGCTTCTGTCATTGGCCTTGACATTAAAAACTCGCTTGGCGGACTCGATGATACGAGTGATGTTCAGGGGCAACTGCATCATCTCCTCGTTGCCCTTGGCCTTGTTGATCTGTCGCACTCGCCGGCGATCAGCCAACAGCTTTTCCCATTCTTGATCCAGGTACTCCATAGATTCCTTGTCGCCAGTCAATTCATTACCGAATTCGTAGTCGTGCTTAAACCAGTCCGGGGGGTTTGCAAGATCCAGACGATACTTCTTTTCGAATGACGAGTTTGACATATTGAGAATACCCAGCTTCTGTTTCTCAATAATCATGGCGTCGAGACCGTCTTCACCATAGAGAAACTGGACAATGTCTCCCAGAGAGTTTCGGACAGTTCCATCGTAACGCGCAGAAAGATCTTCCAGAGCCTTAACCAATCGTCGCTGAATATAACCTGTTTCGGCAGTCTTGACTGCAGTATCAATAAGACCTTCTCGACCAGCCATGGCGTGGAAGAAGAACTCGCTGGGAGTGAGACCACGGAGGTAAGAGTTCTCGACAAAGCCACGGGCCTCGGGTGAGTAATCGTCCTTGGTGAAGTGAGGTAATGTGCGATACTTGAAACCAAAAGGAATACGCTTGCCTTCGACAATTTGCTGTCCGACAAGCGCAGTCATTTGAGAAATATTGATAGATGAACCCTTGGAACCTGAGGAAGCCATGGTGACAGCGTTGTTTGAATCCTTCAAACTCTTCTGTGTTGTGGTACCAGCCTTATCACGGGCCTGATTCAGAGCCATGGAGACCTTGTTTTCGAAGGTTGCACGAACGTTCATACCTGGTAGAGCCTCAAGCTCATTCGCTGTGGCCATTGCTGTCAAGCGAGCAACTTCAGCCTTTTCCTCGTCAATATGCACCTGGACTTTAGCAATGGTCGCCGCATCGGGAATTGTATCACCAATACCAATGCTATGACCATTGTTGAGAAGCCAGTAAGTGACAACCTGCTGGACACCATTCAAGAAAGCCATTGCACCTTCGGGGCCAAGTTCGTTGTAACTGATATGCACAATACCACCCGCAGCAGCACCGATGTTCTTCTTAGTTAAAAGACCATACATCAGTTGGCCGGCTTGGATCAGAAGACCCTCGTCCTTAAGAGGGGCGTTTTCACCAGAGTCCGTGCCATTGAACAGGCTTACCTCCTTAGGGATGACCATGCTGATAAGCTGCTTACCAGTCCACCGAGGACGAGGCTTATAGATAGCGGGCTGAGGAATGACACCGTCCCAGTTGGGCACCCAGAGCATACAGTTCATGATTTGCTCCTTTGTGAGGAAAACATCTCGACGGCAAAGCTTGTAGGCACCAGCCAGAGAGTCCTGGACGATACCCATCAAAGGACCGTTCTTCTGAGGAGAGACAATGTTCAGGGGAACTAGACAAAGCTCTTTAACCTCGGCGCGTGTTTCCTCGCTCTGTGGGACGTGAAGGTTCATCTCATCACCATCGAAATCGGCGTTGTAAGGAGAAGTAACAGAAAGATTGAGACGGAAGGTTGAGTACGGCATGACGCGAACACGATGGCCCATCATAGATTCTTTATGCAGAGAGGGCTGACGATTAAAGATGATGTAGTCACCAGTCATCAAATGACGCTCAACCTTCCATCCGTATTCAAGAGAGATCGCACCGGCACGGCGGTGATGGCGTAAATCGATTCGCTGACCATCAGCTCGGATGACATACTTGGCACCGGGATGTTCGTTGGGTCCATTCTCGACAAGTTGATGCAGCTTGCCGATGTTGTAGGGTGTCACAGTTTCGGGGTAGGTGAGGGTCCTGGCAATACTGCGAGGGACACCAACTTCGTGTAGAGAAAGATTGGCATCACCAGTAATGACAGTACGTGCCGAAAAGTCGACACGCTTACCCATCAAATTACCACGAAGACGACCCTCCTTACCCTTTAGACGTGCACGAATAGCCTTCACAGGTCGGCCACTCTTCTGAAGAGCACGAGGTTGGCCAGCAATATCATTGTCCATGTAGGTCGCAACATGATATTGCAAGAGCTCCTCAAAGTCTCGGGCAATGTGTTGAGGGGATCCTTCACGAATGGCTTGCTTGACATTTCCGTTGGCACGAATGATATCACCCAGCTTGTATGTCAAATCATCTTCGTTGCGCATACCAGTTCCCGTGCCGTCCATGGAAATACTGGGACGCACTGGGGGTGGTGGCACAGGAAGAACAGTAAGAACCATCCATTCGGGACGAGCATAGTCGGAGTTGAGGCCCATGTTCACAAGATCATCCTCCGTGATCCTCCTCAGAATGCTGTGCGCCATCTCGGGGGTGATGGGTGTTGTTTCCTTCTTCTTCGACTTCTGTCCATCTTCATCAACTGTAACTTCATCGAAGGCGGCCTTGAGCTGTAGGGCTGCTTGTCGAACGTTGGGCTGCATGTTACCGCAGCCACCGTGACCTCTCGGAGGACCAGTCTTTGTGCCGAACTCATCGTCCTTTTGCTTGGCCTCGTCGTTCTCACATCTCCGCTTCTTCTTGCAAACTTCCCACACGCGGTTGAAACGGACTTTAGGATCTCGAGTGTTAATGGCGTTAACGAACTCAGGATCTCTCTGATTAGGCGGTTAGCATCAAAATTTAAATAGCGTCATACAGCGAGACCAACATCATCGGCTAGCACTTTGCTACAATTGTGGCAGACTATCTCCAAAATCTTTTTGACTTTCTTGATAAATCCAGGATGGTAGACAGGTTTGGCCAGTTCGATGTGACCGAAGTGGCCAGGGCACTCGCCCATTGCTTGAGTGCAGGTTTTGCAGCGGAATTGTCGATCGATCGATCCGAGGAGCGGGTCATTGAGGCCACCGTCACGAGGCTTTGTTTTGTTCTCCTCCATCGTTTCGGGATAAGTAATGTGGCAGACACTCATATTCTTGATCTCCTCGGGGGACATCAGACCGAACTGAATCTCTTCCACCGTCTTGAGCGGAGCGCTCGAGTGCGTGAAGTAAAGGTTGGCCATGGTGGCGATATGTGATTGTTCTGGCGTGGAGTGGAAAGGAGCGAGAAGCGAGAGTAGAGATCCGAACGCGCGCCGGAACGCAAAGAAACGCGAAAAGTAGAAGAAAGGTGCGAAAAGATGCTATTAAAAAGGTTTTTGGTCGCGCAAGGCTGTAAAGTCGATAATAAATTCTCTCAAATGCGATTGCTTGATGGGCGATGAACAGCAACGCCTGTCCTGGCCACTGGCTCAGGTGAACCTCAGGCTGGTCTCCCGCGTCGCCGCCACCTTGTAGGTTGCAGAAACTCGAAAAATCGCGGTCGGCGATATCGTCGATCGTTCGTAATCGGTAGGTAAGCTGTTTCGATGGGATGCGCGCGATGCCCGACGCGCGCTGTGATGACTTTGTGTTGTAGGCAAAGTTTTGTCGTGGTTAAGGCGAGAAGGTCGGGGGAAGCCTGAAAGATTCTGGACTTGAGAACGGCTGGCAGCAGTTATACGCTAAGCCTGTTTTGGCCTCCCTGAGCTCAGGGTGTTGCCTGAGGCCTGTTGCACTCGCGAGTAGAGCTACTTTGCTGCACGTTCTCGGGGGCTGACTAAACACGAGTATTGGTGTAAAACGGAAGCCAGTCGCGCTTTTTAGATGGGCACTGAAAGTATAGATACTTGTACCCCTAAGAAATTGGATCCAATCACGCCCTCTGACGTTTGAGATCCGGGCAGTGACTCAGGCTATGGCGAAACAGCTCCTGATCATTGATTATGGGCATTTGATCCTTGAATCAGCTTGCATGAAATTCTATGGAAGCTGTGGATTCTCAAAAGGCTACAAGAAAGAAGGAAGACACGCCCTGACTACTAAGGTACATTAGTACTCAGAAGCACTATGAGGCATGCCTCAGGGAATAAAACATCAGACCTTGATTGATATAAGGTATCAAAAATAAACTCAGCAAAAGGTATCCCAAACTTATACCAATTTACCCAAGTCTTTTTATCGTTTAGGTCCCGTTTTCTTTCGTTCCCTAGACATATTGTATCGAGACAGGTCTTGTGAGTCTTGAGAAGCAGATCTCATAATAGATTCTTTGTTTTTCCGGGGCTAAATTATTTCATTCATCCTCCTATTGAGACGAAAATGGTATGTTTGCAATCAATCATCCCTATCCCATGCAGCTTTAACTAGCCCCCTCCGAATGCGACAAAGAACCCCTTTGTTCTTTGCTGTCCATGTTCCACCCATCATCTCCTTTGTTGTCTAACGCTTTCGGCCTCTTTTCCCGGCCGTGCTTTTCTGAACGGGTATCTTTTCCTCCAAATCGCTTTGACCCTCTCCAGGACTCCTACGTCTCATGGTGCCGGTTGATACTGCGATGAATTCGTCCTCGCTGTCGCTCTCCCCGAGATTAAACAGAATTGGCATCCGAAAGCTTTCTCCCTCGTCCAGGGTTTTGGATGGATCCAGTGTCAACACATCAACCTCTTCATCTTCAGCATCTAGTCGCCGTCGGTGTATCTCTTCTTGCGCATAGATATCAAAGTCATCTTCCCGCTCAATGTACTCAACGTTCTCTTCCACTTCAGCAAAGTCAGGCGCCAGCGCCGACCATTTTTGCGGGCTGATAACAGACCATATGTATATGCGACCGGTTTCCAGGCCGCAGGCAGCCAAGAGCGCGCGAGTTGGGTGCCACTCTATCACGCCTTGTTCTTCTTTTGGGTCCTTGAGCATACAAACCAGACTGCCATGATTGCGCTCCCATACGTACAGCTCGTGGTTGTTGTACGTCGAGGCTGCTACATATTCACCAGTTGCACTGAACGTGACATGATTCCATGATAGCCTGTTGACAACGTCCTGGAACTTGTGCTCCAGTGGTAATTGTAGTGTATCGAGGTCGAGGTTCTCGGCCAGTAAATTTGGCACTCGGAAAGTTCGAATAATTCGGTCTTGGCAATTGACTAATAACTCACGTCCTGATACGGTCAATCGCAGGTTGGTAATGGCACTCGAACATATCTTCTCCGAGTAAATAATTTCGCATGTCTTTGCATCGATGATATTGAGCTTGCCTTTGTTGGTTCCGGCGAGCACATGATCTCCAGTTGTACTCCAGATCGCAGATGTTGTCATTTGTTTCGCATCTTCTTTGGCTTGCTTCTCGCGCAGTGCTGCATCGTCGGTACTCGGTCGCTTCGCCGCTGATGGGAGTATACGTTTCACGTCGACAGGATCGGTTATGTCGACTAGGAGTGGCTGCTCTTCGTATAGCGCGGCGACAAATTTAAGGCTGACTCAAGTTAGTCAAGCTCAAGAGATGATCGCGCTTCCTTACTGGTTCCATGGATGAGGCTCAGCCATATACGCAGGCGCGCGAAGACGAACCTCGCGTAGACGCTTTCCATCCTTAAGGTCCCAAAGGATAGCTTTCCATCCGTGGCAGGCCGTGAGAAGATACCGTCCACACCTTGACCAGCTCGTGACTGTGATGCTCTTATTGTGACCCCTCAGTTTCCTCGCGACTCCCATTGTATCCAGATCCCAAATTACAACGGTTCCATCGACTCGGCCTGAAGCAAGGTAATCGCCCTGCCGGTTAAAACGTAGAGTTGTCGCATGTCCTGAACGGATGGTATTTGTGATGTGCTCGGGGTAATCTTGGAGAAGATAGTCATCTGAGAGTAGGAGATTCATGATAGCGATCGTCTGAAGGTCAGCGTCATAGAATAGTAGTTGGAGTAAGGAGCTCGTGTTCCATTGACAAAAGTGTTTGTGCAAGTTCTAGAAACTGGCTTCAGCCGTGCTGTTGGAGGTGGGCTTGGTCTGCAAGGCTACAGGCGCAGGCCCACACGACCTAGGTAGGTGTGCAAATAGAGATGTGGCTGATGCCTTGTTCCTCAACGTCACTTACGTCTTGGACTGAGATGAGTGAAAGTTGATTCGTTTGATTCCATTCCCCAGTTATAGGTGAGGGGAATGTGCTTTCTGTTCTTGGATGTAGGTAGTTGTCTGTTGCTCAAAGGCTTGAGCGAAGCTTTGGGTTCAGTACTACTAAGTTACTGAGGGGCGCAAGATGATGGCGAAGATATACACAATGCCTCCAGGCTACTAATCCATCATCCCATAGCTAACTTCATAAACGAATCATGAAGATTTTTATAAATCTCGTTAATAGTTCAGAATTTTGTCATTGTTGTCGAAATTATTAGGCCCGAAATTGGGCGTAACTCTGTCTATGGCTTTTCTCTCTCTCTAACATTTCTCTAACCCCAAGAAGTACATAAAATATTCACTTCTCCACCATGTCGAGTTACACTCACAGGCAAATCATATTGAGTCACAAACACCAGAGTCCAGATACAGCCAGCGCATAATATTTCAGCCCTCATTCTTCCTTCAACGTTCAAATTCTCATTGAAGCTCGCAAAATGGCGAATTCCAAGTGAGTCGTCGCATTGCCTGTACCTATATCATCGCTAATCTTATGATCAAAGATTTGAATATGTCCGTAACTTTGAGACGTCAGATCCGCTATTACCCAACACATGGATCGTGGTGCGAGTCGATGGAAGGGGTTTCACCAAGTACAGTTGAGTTTTTCTCTTTTAATGAGTCTCCTAACCGTTGATAGAATGTGTGCCAAGTATGGCTTCGAGAAACCAAATGATCGCCGTGCCCTTGATCTTATGAACACAGCTGCCAAGGCTGTCGTAACTGAGCTACCAGAAATCACCATTGCATACGGCGTCAGTGATGAGTATAGGTTCGTAAGACGAACTAGTTCAAGGCTTTGTGCGACTAACATTTCCAACAGCTTCGTCTTTCACAAGGCATGCACTTTGTTTGATCGAAGAGCCAGGTTCGTTTACACTCACTCTACCCATCCCATGCTGCGTCAAAAACTTACCATTTCCTAGTAAACTTGTTAGCACTGTAGTCTCGACATTCACTGCGAATTACGTATACTTTTGGTCGACTCACTTCCCAGACAGCCCGTTGTCTCCTCCACTACCATCCTTTGATGGACGGGCAGTGTGCTACCCTAGTGTTCAAAATCTCCGGGATTACATGAGCTGGAGACAAGCAGATTGTAGGTTTTACAATTATACAAATGGCCCTGGCTGACATAACTCAAGGCCACATCAACAACCTCTATAACACATGTTTCTGGTCTTTGATCCAACTCGGAGGTCTTGACAACAAGGAAGCTGAGAGTACTCTGGCGGTAGGTGGCCATACTGCGGAACTTGAACAAGCTGACTGTATCAGCGCACATTGGCAGCAGACAAAAACGAGATACTCTTCTCTCGCTTTTCTATCAACTACAACAACGAGCCCGAGATATACAGAAAGGGCAGCGTTATCTTCCGCGACGTACGTATGGTCTACACTTCCCCGCCAACCAATACTGACACTCAACAGTACGAATTGGTTGACCCTGACTCTCACAATACCATGCAAACAATCGACTCTCAAGCAGAGCCCGTTGAGCAATCAAAGTCACAGAAGGAGAAGGACAAAAAAAGCCGAGCCAAAGCTCGTGTGGTGGTGGAACACATGGACATCATCAAGGACGATTTCTGGAACCAAAGACCATGGCTACTTTCCAACAAGCCTGGGAAGATTCCGAAACAGACGTAAATATACATCTATGGGGTATCATCCAAAATTTCCATTAACCTCAACTCCGTGAATATGCTTTCGCTGTATATGCCTTCAAACTCCGATTTTCCCATGTCCTTCTATGTTCTATGTTCTATTTCCTGGACTCTTTAGCTCTTTGCCTCCTTTTCTCCTCTTTCTTTGCGCGCCGCCGTTTTTTCTCCTCATCTGCGTCGCTTGATTCTGCTGAGGACTTGGATGACTTTTTCGACTTGGACTTGAGCTCTCGGCGCGCCGCTTTCTCGGCCCTTCTCGCGGCCCGCGCTTCCTTCCGCTTCCTCTTTGCTTCTTTCCGGACTTTCTTCTCCTCCTTGGTCTCTTTCCGAGGCTTGTCCTTGTTAGACTTGTCACCTTCTTGTTGGTCGCTAGATTCGGTTTCGGATGATTCCGTGCTCGATTCGTTGATCGTGAGCTTATCTATCGTTCCTTCGAGGAATCCGCCTCGTACGAAGGTCGTGTATACGGAGTATTTGCCGAGATTCTTTTCGAGGGCGTTCAGCTTGCCAGTTGTGACGGTCTGAACCACTTTCCCCTCCTTGGAGGTATCGATACCCTTGAGTTGCTCATCAAATGCGTTCATCCACCATTGGTCGCTAGTGAAATGTTGCTTCTGGCCTAGTCCTCGAGTATTGTCTTTGCGATTCAGCAACAGAGGTTTCGCAAGTCCGATTGAGTCGTCAGTTTTATGTAGAGAGTGTCCGGTTCCTCGCCATCCTTGAGAAGAGAGCAGCGCATGTGCATCCATCGTATGATTTGTAATTGAGCTCCTCTTGCGACCAATTGTATGGGTGTTGATCTGATGTCTGTCAAAGAGGGAACGGCATGAAGGATTAGAGGTTTGAAAGTTGGATGGTCGAGGGTCGCGATTGGGAAATTTTTTAGCGGGGCCGGCTTATCGGACCCCAGATTGGTCTTATCAACGCTTGGTCTATACTACCTGTCCAAAGGCAAGAGCCCCAACTTAGTGAATTCGCTGCACTTCGATCCTGCGATAATGAAACATGAACGATGTTTAAAGGAGTGAAAGTTTTACCAGTTCCTATACATTGCTCATGAAATTTCGATAAGAAAAACACTATCAGAAGGTGAGCCTAGAGATGATTCCGTATTTCATTTATCTATTTCATATACATGTTCCTGGTACTCCGTAGAGCCTGACCGTTTCAGCCACCTCCACGATCTGGGTAAACTCCGGTACAGCAATTAGCCAGGGCCTCACGTGCCACCCATCAGGCATAGGTTGGTTGAGGTAAGTTTGCGACAGACCACGCCTCAATTTATCAACTCTTTCAACCCTTTGTCTCCAAACCCGCAAAAATGCCGATGGACGAACGCGAGCTTGGGCAGCGCATCAAGGCGCTGACAAAGTGTGTTGCTGCGAATGAACCCCCCGAGAACGCCATTAAGTTGCTCGAGACATTGAAGAAGGATGCTTCTCCCACCGAAGAGATGCTACGGGTACGTACGCGGTTCAGGAAGCGATAGAGAGAGCGCTTTTCTGCGCGCGTTTTGGATATATACATGCCTTGGTTGGTCTGCGCAAATGCATGGTCGCATTTCTTGACTTCCTTCGTCAAAATTGCGACCTTGGCGGATCTATCGGATATTGCAATCTTGATCTCACAGGGACTGTGCTAATGCCGAGATCTTGGTCACAGGCTACAAGAGCTGGTGTGTTTGTCGGCAAACTTCGCTCAAATTCCAACAAGGACATCGCCCGTGCCGCCGCCGAACTCGTCAACAAGTGGAAGAAGTTGGTCGAACAGGAAAAGCACTCGAAGCTACAACGTGCAAAGGTCGGCTCAGGATCTCCAGCCCCAGCTCCATCATCAGCGCCCGCGTCATCACCTGCTCCTCCTCCTCCATCATCATCAGCCGGTGGCTCTGGGGCCAAGTACAAGGGCGACATCGAGAAGCGAAAATATGAGACCGACAACGTGAACGTCAAGCGCACCGATTCTAGCGTTCGAAACTCATGCATTGGGCTTATCTACAATGGCCTCGCCTATCGATCAACGGCAACCGAGACCGACGTCATTACTAGAGCCGTCGCTGTTGAGCATGCCGCTTATACCAAATTCAAAGGGGAAACGCCCGATTACAAGAAGAAGATCCGATCGCTTTTCACCAACCTGAAGAACAAGTCCAATCGGGAACTCGGGCGCAGTGTCTTGTCCGGTGAGATCACTGCCGAGAAATTTGTTGTCATGACCGATGACGAGCTCAAGAGCGAGGAGCAGCGCAAGAAGGAGCTTGAACTAGAAAAGGAGAACATGAAGAAGGCCCAGGTCCCGATGGCTGAGAAGAGTATCAGCGAGAGTCTGGAGTGTGGTCGTTGTAAGAAGAAGCAGGTCAGCTACACGCAGGCGCAGACCCGAGCTGCTGATGAACCTATGACGACTTTCTGCGAATGCATGGCGTGCGGGCATCGATGGAAGGTAAGTCTTGTCACTTTCAACTGAAGTTTGGCGACGTAACTAACGCGGAATACCTCACATAGTTTTCTTAATAATACACAAGGAGTCTGGAGGATCAGGGATGGGACAATGCTAAACTAGACTAACACTTAGGTAACTTCTGCCTATCAGATTCATAAAGATCTTTCAAGTTCTACAAGTTGCTGGCCTAATTAACTTCACCTTTATATACCCCATTAATAGAATTCATTGTAATTGGTCGTAATCTTATTATAAGCCCTATGTAAGTATACAACCCGTTGGTTCTGGACAAGTTACGTCCCACTCGAGGACGTGTTATTAGGATGGTTTTCATTGTGGCATCATGGATCCATATCGTGACAAGGAAAACCATATGCCCTTAAACCAAGTGATAAATGTATTTATATAATTGAGGCTCTCGCGAGTGATCTTTACACTGCTCGTATTTCCATTCTGCCTACCCTACACCGCTTGAAAGGAGGAATTCTTGTATATGCCCATGTACAGAGTAACATACCGAGCATGACGGCAAGGTTCAAAGTGTTGGATAATTGTTCACATCATTATCACACTCATTTGCCGCTTCTTGAAATCTATTGCAGATGCAGTCCCGGATTTCAACCAACTTCCGAGTGAGTGGTGAGAAAGCTCATTGTCTTTGGCTTTCGATGTCGAAAAGGGCAAAGATGTACTTGTTGACGCAAGTGGAATATTTGGCTTTTCACAATTATCAATCTAGTACTACGGTCTATATAATAAGTTCTGTCTGACCTCTAAGTTCTACCCGTGAGATATGCAACTGATCTCATAACCAAGATGTGCTACCAAATAGTACGATGTATGACGTTGGTCTCACAGGTTCCATTACCAGCGCTAGGACTCCCAAGACAATACTTACTAGGTAATATTACATTCGTTTTCGGTCCAGTGCAATATATCAAACGAATACCCTCCATTTCTTTCTATCAAACTGAGGATAATCTGCATCTTCTTGGTCATTCGCACGTGACGAAGGCCTAAGCATATTACGACTCCTTCAGTGATTACATCACACCAATTACAACACATCTGCACCTCACACCAGGTTTCGGGGGTTCAGTTTTGAGCCTAGAGCCTACGACTGCATGTTTCAGTATTACACAACCAACAAGCAACACTGCCTAGCAAGTAGGATTTTCAGCCTGAAACCGAGCGTTTAATCTTTGATCCTGCATATACATGGGCCATGCTCAGGCCATGACCTATTGACACCGTAGCCAACGCGTACTATATAGCCAACTGCCCAGCCCACGACCAGCCTGTTTAGCAATAAACCCGTCTAGAGTTTCGTCCAGGTCGACATCATCAAAATGGCGCCAACATGCTCGGATCCTCGTCAGATCGTCATCACTCTCAACCCCGCGCGTCGCCAAGCCCTCCTCAAGCTCGTTGATGAGATCACCACTTATATGAGTGACCAACTTCAAGCTTCCGACGATGAGCTTGGCCCTGTCCTATCAACCCCTCGAAGTGAGAGTGGACCTTCTACACCAAGAGACGAGGACAGGTCGTCGACACCCAGGAATGATGACTCTGATCGAAATGTTCAGCAGCAGCAGCAGCCGAACAAGCCATCGGCGCAGGCACTACGTATTCAGAAAGCTGCTATAAAGCATTTGAAGGAGTGGAAAAAAGAATTCATCCCCAAGTTGGAGGAGATTGTTCGTGTCAAGGATGATCACAAGATTCAGGAGGAAAGGCGCAAACATCAACAGGAGGCTGAAAAGAAGAAGCTCGATACACCCGAAGAAGGCGAGAATCTCATCAGTTTTGGGGAGAATAAGATAGACAAGTCCGAGGATATTGCCTCTCTTCAGGCTTTATATCATCCAATCCCCACAAGACTGACGACTATCCCTGCTGCCGACAGAAGAGAGGCTATATCATGTATCCTACTCCTTCTGCTTTCCACGGGTAAGTATTCCGCTCATACTCGAGCACTTGCGCTTTATCTTGCTTCCTCTCTTGAGATTTCCCAGACTTTCCTCATCAAGGAAGAAATGGAAATCGCCAAGACTCTTCTCGAATCCTCCAAGGACCAAGATAAGCAGCAGGAGGTCATGTCTGCCGAGGCCGAAGCTTCCAAGCGCCGAGAAGAGAACAAGTTCAGTCGTTTCTGGAAAGTCGGACTTGCTTCTGTTGCCGGTGCAGCTGTGATCGGCGTCACCGGTGGTCTGGCAGCACCTCTTGTTGCTGGAGCTGTCGGCGGTATCCTCGGTGGCGTGGGCCTGGGAGGTGTTGCTAGCTTTCTTGGTATTTTCTGGATGAATGGTGCTCTTGTAGGCGCTTTGTTCGGTGCATATGGAGGAAAGATGACTGTAAGTTACTTTTCGAAGTTCTGTTCATTCCCGACTAACATTGCAGGGTGAAATGATGGACAAGTACGCAAAGGAAGTTGAGGACTTCCGCTTCATCCCTCTCAGGGGTGAATGGGGAGAGGTCTTTAATGCAGAACAGGACCAAGCACAAGCACAGGAACGGCGGCTGCGTGTTACAATTGGAATCAACGGATGGCTTCGTGATGAGGATGACGTGACGAAGCCATGGCGGATTCTTAGTGACGATTCTGAGGTCTTCGCTCTGCGCTATGAGATGAAGTCTCTCATTGCCTTGGGACATGCTCTACGAAGTATGGTCGAATCTTTTGCCTGGAAGAAGCTCAAGGTCGAGATCATAAAGCGTACTGCCTTTGCCACCCTGCTTGCGGCTCTATGGCCTATCCAGGTACTTGCTGCTGCTTCCAACATTGATAATCCTTTTGGCCATGCACACAACCGATCTCGAAAAGCAGGCCAGCTACTTGCTGATGCTCTGATCAACAAAGTCCAAGGCGAAAGGCCTGTTACTCTAATTGGATATTCCCTTGGCGCTACAGCGATTCATGCCTGCTTGCAGTCCCTTGCTGAGCGGCACGCTTTTGGTCTCATTGATTCAGTTGTCATCATCGGCGCTCCGGCCCCTTCAGCTCCTCCTCACTGGCGTACCCTTCGTACTGTTGTCTCTGGAAAGATCTTCAATGTCTATTCAGAGAACGATATGATTCTTGGATTCGTCTACCGGGCTCACAGTCTCTCCATGGGAGTCTCTGGCTTACAGAATATCCAAGAGGTTGAAGGTATCCAGAACCTCGATCTGAGTGATTCCGTCAGTGGACACCTCCGGTATCCCGACCTCATTGGTGAGATTCTCAACAAGTGTGGATTTGTTGGAATCAAGACAACATCCGAGATCGAAAAGGATGATGTGATTTTGATGAAGGACCGTCATGCCCAGGGTGAGTTGATCGATTTCGAAGGGACTACAGTTGAGGGTAAGGAGAGCCCTCAGTCACCGAACCAAGAGCAAATTGAAAAGGATCTTCATGGACTAAACATCTCCCCCCCGGCTCTTGTTTCGCCATCGCAACCTCCAGCCCAGGGAAAGTCACCACAACAGTCCAGCAATGAGAACCCGCCGCTTCCTCAACGACCGGCTCCTCAGGACAAAAAAGAAGAAGCACCAAAGCTGCCCCGACGGCCTGTAGCGAGTCAAGTACAGCCATCATCAGGACCGAATGATGAAGCGGGACCGCCATTGCCCCGACGCCCTACTGAAGCTCAACAGGAAGATATGCCTGCTATTCCCCGCAAGCCAGTTGGAGTTGATAAGGAAGCCAACCGTCCTCTTCCTCGACGTTTTGAATCTTCACACGATACTCATCAGCAACAACAAAGACCCTGGACGCCCGAGTCCAATCTTACAGATGATGAGGAATATGGTCACATTGCTATGGTGAATTATGACAGCGATCACAGTACAAAATGAGGACAGAATCTATTTGATAGAAACACTAGATCAAATGGAGTATCATCAAACTTGGACCCTCGGGGAGCAAGAGCTCAAGAAGAGGATATAAGAATAAATTTAGTAAAGAGTCCCCTAAGCTTAGGCTAAATTACCTAAATATTTTGATTACTTAGGGTCAAGATTCTAATATTAAGTCTTCTTGCCTCTAAGTCTCTGAATAGAAAAGTTGAGAGTCGATTGAAGATATTATCTATTATATACATGTGCTTCATTTCATAACCCACTCATCCTTTTCAGTTCGTTCGCACCTCATTCATCATGGCTGGGTATCCCTAGCTCAGTAAATAAATTCGTTGCTTCCTCCTCACTTTCCAGACCCATCTCTTTGATGTGCTTCCAGAACTTGCTCAGATGTCTCGTTCCAGAGTCGCAGAGGATAGTAACAACACGACTCCCCTTTGGAAGTCTCATAGCTGCCTCAACCGCGGCGACACAGTTGACAGAGCTACTGCTGCCGATGAATATACCATCGTGCTCAACTAGCCAGCGCGCCATGCGACAGGCTTGCGCGTCCGTTACTCGCACAGCATCGTCGATGAGTTCGCGCCCTGCCTCGAAGTTCTCAGTCAGACGTGTGATTCCGATGCCTTCGACCATAGTATCAACCTGCTGCCTACGTCTTGTACCCTCACGCTCTGTCGACGAGTACATAACGCCGTGACGGACTTTGTTGTAGAGACCACTGCCCTGAGGGTCGGCGAGAACGACTTTGATATCCGTTGCCTTCTGCTCCTCCTTCAGATACTTTGCCACGCCAGAGACTGTTCCTCCTGTACCAGCTCCTGCGACGAAGGCGTCCAGCTGGCCATTCGTCTGCCGCCAAATTTCGGGACCCGTTGCATTGAAATGTGCTTTCCAGTTGGCCTCGGACTCAAACTGGTTTGCGAAGAAACCTTTGCTGCCATCCTTGGACTTACTGGCGTGTTCTTCCGCACGCCTTCGAGCCAGGTTGACAAAGTGATCGGGGCTTGTAATAGGTGCGGGAGTGACGCGCTCAACAGTTGCGCCAAGATGGAGGAGTAGATCGGACTTTTCGAGAGCCATATCGCTAGGCATACAGATATGGGCGCGGTAGCCCATTGCTCGGGCAAGAGTTGCGAGTGAGATACCCGTGCTTCCTACTGTGCCTTCATATATCGTATCACCCTTATGTGGTGTTAGTAGACCCTTTGATTCGGCTTCTCGAATCATGTTAAGTGCAACACGATCCTTGGGTGAATTTCCAGCGCCATTGAGGAACTCTGCTTTGGCCATGATGACCCGGCCTGTGGCTTTTGATAATGATTGAATCTTTATAAGAGGCGTGTTACCGATGGTAGCTTCTATACCATCTACCAAGCTATTCCTCACAACATCATAAGACGTTGGCGATGAAGGTTGAGACTCATGATCCTGAAGCTCAACAGGGTCTCCCCAGAAAAGACTCGATCTTCGGCCACCGCCTGTGTTTGCACGCCTCTTGCGCTGGAATCGACGCTCAAGATCTGGGTAAAAGTCCTTGAATCCTAAAGTGACGAGGATGCCAGTTGTGAAGGCGAAGACAACGGCAGCGGTGCCGTAGGCTTTTGGATGGTCGCTGAGCGCCATTTTTGGAAGTCTTTGGGTAGTGTACCCAATGAACTCATCAATTGGGCATTCACGGGAGAACTAGAATGCCTGCATTGTTGACTGCGCTTCTGATGAGTTGAGGTTGCGGTGGAAACTTGAATGATCTTGGCTTAAGCTTGGTGTTGAGGTATGAGTACATGCTATGTAAAATTAATGAACCCTGGTGTGCGTGATGTCATGTGGAGCTTAGTCTAGCACACCAGCGCTACCTATACCTATACTTCAGGTGCCAGACACACCTAATCTAAAGTCAGTATACTGTCCTTAGGTCTTTGCTAAATTGCGCTAAATTATCTCAAGTCTTCTTGTTACCTACACTAGAGGTCCTAAGTTTTCTTGCCTCTTGACTTCTATAGTAGGATATCCATATTATATATGATTATGCTTCAATCTCTGAAATAAATCAATGATCTCTAGGGTCGAATTATTGAGAAGCCTTTGATAACTATTCTACCAATGATTCTACAAGAGAACATTTGCTGACCTATCTTGGCTATAACCTCACTTTAAGCCCCTCTAAACTTACGACAGCTTGTCGAGAAGAGGCGTTCGATAGCAAGGACAAAGGTTAACCTCACACGGCAATTGTATCAAGCCTAAATGATGAAGCTATTCATAATCTATAATAGGAAAACTTGCACATGATCACGCGAGTATAAATTGGCAAATCCTATGCTCTCACTCTCAACCCGAGGTACACCCGACCAGCTGAGACCCACATCATCCAATGTAAACCATCTGAATCCTCAAATCACCAAATTCTCAAGAACGAACATGTCGACGATATAACAGGAGTTTCTACAGCATGGACTCCCCAATTGTGGCGCAAATCTTCCGCCAGCTCTTCCACCATCGACCTCCAGGCTGCAAAGGCGTCAGAAACCTCGCCGGTTTTCGCAATGGCCTTCGAACAACCACTATCGTCAGCCATCAGAGCCGCTTCTACGTGGCGGGACGACCCTCTAGTGATCGCGGAATGAAGAAAAACGAGAGTCGATGGCAGCAGCGCACGAAAATTCTGCCCCAGGACCGATCTACCGAGTTTGCAGAGTACCCTTACATATTGATTGACGAGCTCAAGCAACGAACCGAACGACCACGAAAGGTCAAGATGCTACTGAGAGACTTTATTGACGGCATGACACTCGAGTATCCCCCTCGGAATAGTAGAATAACGAAGCTATAGACAGTCTTTACAACCCCTCATACGGATACTTCTCCAAACAAGCCGTCATCTTCAGCCCGGGCGAACCATTCGACTTCAACTCAATGCGAGATGAGATTGAGTTCCAGGCCGAGCTAGGCCGTCGATACACCGAATTCGAGGACATTCTTGATGAGCGAGAAGGAGAGAACCCAACACGCCAGCTATGGCATACGCCCACCGAGCTCTTTCGCCCATACTACGGCGAAGCAATCGCCCGCTACCTCGTCACGAATTATCGTCTCACCACATACCCCTATCACGATCTTCTGATCTACGAAATGGGCGCGGGTCGTGGAACGCTCATGCTCAACATCCTGGACTACATTCGAGAAGTCGACCCTCAAGTGTACGCTCGCACAAAGTTCAACATCATCGAGATTTCCTCCACACTCGCCGCGCTGCAAAACAGACATCTTCTGTCCACAGCTGCGTCTCGAGGCCACGCGGATAAGGTCGAGATTATCAACCGCTCCATCTTCGACTGGGACCAATACGTGCCGTCGCCTTGTTTCTTTCTCGCCATGGAGGTCTTCGATAACTTCTCCCACGATGGTATTCGCTACGACGTTGCTACCGAGCAGCCCCTGCAAGGCCACGTGCTGATCGATGGCGACGGCGACTTTTACGAATTCTACTCTCAGGAGTTGGACCCTCTTGCTGCGCGATACTTCCGTGTCAGACACGCCGCCACAGGGGGGAACTATCCTAAACCGTACCCCAGCAATGCCGTTCTACGATATCTATCCACCAAGATTCCGTTTGCTGCTAACCTCTCGGATCCAGAATTTATCCCCACACGGCTGATGCAGTTCTTTGACGTTCTTGAGAAGTACTTCCCAGGCCACCGTCTTGTAACATCTGACTTTGACTGGCTCCCTCAAGCTGTCAAGGGTATGAATGCACCTGTTGTTCAGACACGGTACCACAGGAGGATGGTGCCCGTCACAACCCCCTTGGTAAGCTAGAAGGCCCACTGTCGTTGAATATTGGTAAACTAACATCACACAGGTTCATCAAGGATACTTCGATATTCTGTTTCCAACAGATTTCCGCGTCACAGAGGCCATCTACCGCGCCATCACGGGCAAGTTGACTCGTGTCATGTCGCATGGTGATTTCATGCGTAAGTGGGCATATGTTGAGGACACCGAAACCCGGAGCGGAGAGAATCCCTTGATATCAAACTACCGCAACGCCAGCGTTCTTGTAACTGTATAAAATTAGCCGTGTAACAAAAGCCGAAGCAAAAGGCCATGTAGATATACATCCGGGTTGGGAAAAGATACAGCATATACCCTCTCATCAAACCAATATGTCATCAATGGTGTTCTTTATTCTCGTACTTCTCTTATAGCAGTGGAAAATGACCATGCCTATTTAAACGCTCTATACCCTTCCTTTTGTCTGACCAGATCCCCCACATTACTCCCAGGTGAATGAACAATCATGAATTCCCATTGAGCAGAGTAGAAACATAATTCTTTTGTTCTTCAAACTTTACAGCTTCAGCTTTTCGTTGAGCCACTTTGTCGCAGTCTCAACACCTTCGTCAATGTTCTCAGGCTTAGTGCCCTGGCCTTGTCGTACAGGCTCCTTGCCGCCCGATCGGCCACCAATAATCTCCGACACGGAAGCAGCCCATTGCTCAGCAGTGACGCCTTGAGAAGCAAGATGCTAAAATAGTGAGTTAGTGTATGCAATCCTAATTCTAGGGGTAGACTTACAGTTCCAACGTAGACACCATGTGCAACGGCACCCTCCTCCTTGCTACCAGCAAACAGGTAAACAGTCTTCTCCTTATCTTTACCCTGATAGTGCTTGACCACATCAGGCAGGGCTTTGCTGCCGGTGGCACCAACAGGCAAGCGGCCAACGAACCACTTGGCATCCTTGTTAGCCTCAAAGTACTTCTGGACAATGTCAAGCGCAGTCTTGGACTCGGCCTTCTGGCGCTTCTTCTGCTCAGCAGTCACAGCAGCAGAAATCTTTTGGAAACGCTTGTTGAACTCGTCCTTCGTCAAGGTCGAGATGGTTAGCTGGCTGAGCTCCACCGACACGGCCTTGACTTGAGCCTCCTTCTCAGGACCGAATGGCAACTTGTCGAGAGCATCAATCTTCTTTGAGAATTCATCAGCCTCACGCTGAACCTGGTGAGCAGCCTCACCAGTGTAGGCAATGATACGGCGAATACCCTTTGCGATACCACTCTCCTCAATAAGGATGAGGTCCTTAATCAACCCAGTCTGCTCAACGTGGGTGCCGCCGCAGAACTCAACACTGTACTGACGCCATTCCTTCTTCTTGGGGTCGGCGAGCATCTCATCGATATCTCTGCCGATGGAGACAACACGCACAGGATCGGGATAGGTCTCGCCAAAGACAGCACGGCAGCCCTCAATCTGGCGAGCAAGCTCCAGATCAACCTCCTTGGAAAAGATCTTGTCTTTACGGCGAATGTATGAGTTCGACATGTCTTCGATCTTCTTGAGCTCCTCAATCTTGACGCCAGTCTTGTGGGAGAAATCGAAACGGAGCTTCTCGTTGTCCACCAAAGAACCCTTCTGGTTGACATCATCACCGAGAACCTCCCGCAGGGAGTGGTTCAGAATGTGAGTACCGCTGTGGTTGTTGCGGATAGGAGATCGACGCAATTCATCATACTCGCAGACAACCTCGTCACCAGAGGATAGTGTACCATACTCGATATAACCATTGTGTAGGATATACCCACCATAGTTTTGAACATCAAGAACCTTGAACTCGGCGACATCGTCAATGACGATGCGTCCAGTGTCAGCGACCTGACCACCTGATTCGGCGTAGAAGTTGGTCTTGTCGATCAAAAGACCCAGAGCAGTCTTCTCGGGTACGTCCTTGGTCGACTTAAGGAAGGATTGGCCATCATAAATGAGCTGGACCTTACCCTTGGTGTCACCTTGAGTAAACTTGGCGTCGTCATTAGTTCGCTCAACCTTAAGATCCTTCTCGAGCTCGGAGATTTGGTGCACATTGAGCTTGGAGAAAGTCTGGACAGACTCCTTGACAGCCTTGCTGGCCTCACGAGCCTTGATTCGAGCAGCCTCGACCTCAGCATCGTCAATCTCGAGGCTTCGCTCTTCAGCCATCAATCGGGTAAGGTCCACGGGGAAACCGAAAGTGTCATAAAGTCGCCACACAACATCACCCTCGAGCTTCTTGGAGCCGCCCTTGGTGGCCTCGGCAGCATATTTCTCGAACTGAGCCTCACCACGATCCAGAGTGCGGGCAAAGGCGACCTCCTCCTCATCGAGAATCTCCTTAATGTCTTGCTGCTTCTTGACAAGCTCGGGGAATTGCTCGCCCATCTGGTCAACAAGCGCAGGCAAGATCTTGGAGAAGAAGGCGCCGATATCGGCGTTGAAATACTTTCGAGCGTATCGCACACCTCGTCTTAGTACACGTCGGACAACATAGCCTCGACCGTCATTGTTGGGAACAGCGCCGTCAGCGATGGAGAAAGAAAGGGTTCGGATGTGATCAGCAACTACACGGTAGGCGGTATCAATACCATCGGCATCATCCTTGCCATACTTGTCAGCGTAGGGTCGGGCGCCAGTGACCTCCTGGATCTTATGGAAGAGAGGGGTGAAGCAATCGGTGGCATAGTTGGAAACTGTATCCTGAAGGGCAGAAACCAGTCGCTCGTAGCCCATACCGGTGTCGATATGCTTGGCGGGGAGAGACTTGAGGCTACCGTCCTTTTGTCGATCATACTGCATGAAAACGTTGTTCC